TTTGTCTAGTCGTCACCCCAGTATTATCTTGCGCTATATCCCAAAACACCTGTTTTGGGAAACTGCAAAAGAATATATTTTTCTTTATAACTTACCTTCTTCATCTCGGATTTCTAAAATTTTTTTACATAAACATTGTTCATGTTATAGGTAATGTTCTGTTATATAACGTTGATAACAACTGAGCATTTATTGTTAATAATAGCGTTTTATTATTTTGGATATAGAACAAAAATGACACTTTCCGTAAATTTAGGAAAAACTAATGGATATAGCACATTTTTATAACATGAATTTGTTCTACATCCTTTATTTCTGTTTTAAGTAGGTAATATTAAACTCACGTAAGTAATAATATTTTCAAAAAAAGAGTAAACTTAATTAAACTTTATTGCGTAGGTACAGAAAATAACAGATAATTCAAAAAATTCAAAACATAAACTTAAAAATAATATTTTGTGCATATCAATTTATTATTAAAAAAATGAAAATGTAAAATAAACTATTTTGTTTTTGTGGTGGATTTTTTTGGTTTTTTTTTGGTATTTGCTTCTTTTGATTTCTTGTTTTTAGTGTTATTCCTCTTCATTGAACTCTTGGTACTTCTGGCAACTTTATCTGCAGTAACAATACGCTTGTTTTTCTTTTTCTCTGTGGTTATTTTTTTCGGAGTGTTTTTTATCGCTAACAATGTTTCATAAAAGATTTTTTCAGTATCATGAGGAATATATGACTTCATTTCAGTTAAGTGCTGTCGTTTTAAATCAGATATATTAATTTCCAAATCAGCCAATGGTACATCACATGAAAAATTATATAAGTCACATAATATATCTTTTCGCTCATGTCTAGTTAAATTTTGTTGTTTCAACACACAAATTTTGGTTTTATGCATACCACCCTCAAACATTTCTTTATATTCTACATTATTGACATCTTTTTTTGTATAAATAATATGTTTCACTCTAGTGTATGGTATTGTGCCATAACTGAGTAGTTTACTCATTTTCTGAAAATTGAAGTAGTCGGTCTGTTTCATTTGCAATACTTTGAATTTAAATTTCCATGATGAAGGAATAGACAATAGGGCTCTGACTAAAGACATGGGACTCCATATTTCTAAATTTCGAATGTGTTTTTCTATGCAACTATGTGCACAATCTATTTCCTGGACATTACCATGTCCAGGTTCGCTAAATTTTTGTTCAACAATTTCAAGACCTTTACTGTATTTGGACTTCAAAAAATTCTGTATAGCAAACGTCATCACGGAATTTCTATTTTGTGGCACGCAACTATCGGACCACAAAATAAGTCTTTTTAAATTTGTATTGTCTACCATTACTTGTTTTAAAATTCGAAATATTCCACTGGCGATATGAATGCCAGCACGTCCAGCAATAAACTCGTGCCAGATTGCATTATAAACAAATTTAGTTTTATCCAAATAAGCAGTTAAATTATAGCAAGATAGCTTAGTTTTATAGTAAAAATTTGATACATTGGCCTTAGGGAGTGAAAAAGTATTTTGTAAATCAAAAGTTATTACCCCTACCGTGTCATCCTCAATAAATTTTTTTCTGTCTCTGTCCCTTTCTTGTTTTCCAATATTCTTGCGTTTTATGTGTTCTTCCTGTTTTACGATTTCCTCTTCAGTTGGTTCCTTTAGTATCTTGAACAGTTCGCACTTGTCGCAAAGATCCTTTTTAGGCTTGAAGAAGCTTATATTAAATTCCGTGTTAAATATCTCCGAGTACATATGGAATTTAACAGGATTTTCCGTTGAAGATCTGTATAAATCATACATTTTACGTAAGGTTATACCACGCTCTAAATATTTTTTTTTAGTCAGAGCTCTACAGTAATGGGAGTCAATTGATGGAAATGATTTAATATGTGATCTTACTTCATCTTTTTTTGCAACTGGTATGAATTTTTTCTTGTGTTTACCTTGGGTGGGGGAGTTTGGTACATCCTCATCTTTATTTTTCTTAAAAAAGTAATACACCCTGTTTTTGCTTATGTTTAGAGTATTTAAGAAATACTCTTGGCACACCCGAATCTTCACTCCTGAGACTACAAAATGGTATTCGTAGCTGTATTTTTTTCTGCTCGATTCCTCCGCAGTTCTCTTTCTTAAAGGTGTGACACGTTTTATATGTTTTGAGTAGAAATGTACTTTTTTTTCATCGTTCAGTTTCCAGAATTGCCTATGAATGTGGCCTCTTTCTTCATTGGTAATGGCTTGTGAACATTTAAATCCACACTTTTCTGAATGGCATGTTTCATTTTTAACATTCTTGGGTGGTTTTAAAGTACCTTTAGAATCCAAATATGCTTCTCCTCTTTGTCGCTTAGACTTTCTAATATTTTGTTTCCATTTGGTTGGATTTCTGTTTCGCTTGCGGGTTAAAACTTTGTCTGAACCGTTTTGTGGTTCTTCGGCAATAATTACTTGCTCTTCATTTCCAGATAACTTTTCACTTTCACTATTTTTTTCAGGAACATAATCAGGATCGGTCTGTACATTATTTGGTAGTATTTCTTGAACAGTTTCTGAAATTAAATAAGAGTTAAGCATCTGGAGAAGAGTCTGTGTTAACAATATCCAAACCTGTAACTGCCATAACGTGTCCATCTTCATTAACATCAGTTATTTCTAATATTACTTGTTCAGTATTACAGGGATAGTCATTTTCGTCAATAACATTGTTGATTATTACAGCCAACTCACTGAAAAAGTTAAGTAGGTACGTTAGATTAATTCAAAAGTTTGAGGTTATGTAGGTACAAACACATTTCAATTTAGAAATTATTTCAAAATGTTACTTACTTCCAGGCCTCCGAAGGGCATTCAGAAGGTTTGCTACGGGGAATAGAACTAAATTCACTGTCCATTATTAGGTCAGAGTAAATTAAAACCGTAGAACAACTTAACTAAACAATGAATGGTGTGCGTATGGATATAGAACAAAACATTACTAATAAAGGTTTCAAATGGATATAGAACAAAATGAGGCTGTATGGTTTATAGAACATAATAATTCTTAAGGAATGAACGGAACAAGATAATTCTATAACGTACCCGAAATTTTAAGGATATAGTCCAATCATTTACTTAAAACTTTGTTATACACCAGGATAATACTGTTATTTCAACGGATAATGAACAAGATAATTTTTTTAAAATTTGTCAAGCATTTGGTTGTATAAAGTCCAAAAATGGACATAGAACAAGATAATACTGGGGTGACGTAGTGGCAATTCGTCGCATAAAATTAGTGGCAGGTATCTTATTAAACACATTGTTTGCGCTGCTCTTTGACCAATATTATTAGATGGTTTTTCAAGACATATTGGACTTGGTTTGTTACAAGATTCATTAATGCCAAAATTAAACGACTTAATGCGTTCATTTATGGTCTCCAATGTTATAAACTTCTGGACAATTAAAGACTTTAAAACTAACTTTATCTCAAGCTGAACAACACCTTCGAGTAAATCATGCATACAATCTACAGATATATTATTTGATATTTTGAAATGATTTAAATCGTTTAAAATGCTTCTATGTTTTATTCCGAACACGGAGACTTCATTGTTATCACGAAGTGACTCGCAATGTTGCTCATAACTTATATCACTTCGTAATAGTTCTTGATTTTCTGCAGTCAATCGGTGACATAAATGTTTATCTGCAAGGCATATCCTACAATAATATTGGGCTGAAAAGGACTCTACCATGCCATGCAGTTGGTTAGCCCCTAGATTGTCATGACTCAAAGCAACTAAAGTACCCTTTATGAAATTATCTGTTATATGGTCCTTGACGCCTATAGTTTCCAAAATTTTTAGGTCCCTCAATAAAACTTCCAAAATAGAGTTCATACCAAATTTTTTACCATCATTACTATAAAAAAGACCAGCTAAATGAATGTTTCGTAAAGAAGAATTACAATGAGAAGGAATGTTTCTTATTATAAAATACACACCACCGATCTTATGGCCACCAGTTTTGGAACCTAATGGGTTGACACTCTCAAATTCGTCAAAGTACAACTGTATTTGAAATGCATTCGAATTTTCAGAAAAAAAAAGTAGAATTTTTGTATATGCTACCGTCTGAAAAAGACATATACTTCTCGCTGGGGTTAGAAGTCTTTTGAAAAAAAGATTCTCTGAAAGAATCGTTGCTCAATAAATGTTGCAATGTTTTCAAAATAGGAATGTAGACAAAATTACATGGAATAGGTATTTGCATATAGATTCTATTATCTTTGTCCCAAACTTGATCATATCTAGTACCAATCTTAATGTCAACCGGCTCCACTATTCGTTCTCTAAAATATTTCTCCCTTTTGTACTTTGTATTGAAATTTGCAAACACGTTTGGAAATTGATTTCTGTCTATCGAACTATTTGAAAGAACGGTAAGAAACCCTTGGGTATGTTCAATAATACTTTGGATACTAGAATCTGGTAATCCTAAAGCATACAAACTATTAATAAATTCTGCAGAATAATCATTTAGGGACTGTATGTGATCATGATCAGTGACATTAGTTTCATTAGGCAGAGTAATAGATTCGTTGTTTTGGGCATTACAATCATTATCCACGACATTATCATTGTTATCCATAGAAGGCAATACACCCTGCTCCTTTACATTTTTATCTAAGACACAGTTTTGAATATGTTTTCGGTATCCACTAAAGGTACGATAAATATTTTGACAAAATACATTAAAGCAACGTAATTCCAATGTTTCGCCATCATATAAGGCATGTTGTTGTCTTAAATGTCTAACTAGAACCGTAACATTTAGAAAAGATTTTGAGCATATATAACAAAGAAACATTTTTATATAAACATAAGTAGAAGCACTATTCTTTTCGTATAAATTCAAAATTTTGGTTCTCAATTCCCTCGTTCTACTACAAATTGAATTCGTTTCAATTTTAAAACAGTTCATTTATCAATTCGTAGAATCTCTCCAGGTATAGGTCAAATTTTAAATTAAAAGCATAGTGCGCCTTAAAGCAAACATCGAAAGCTGCGATAATATCATTTCCCGTGGCAATTATATATTTGTCGAAAACGACATAGCACTTACTAATAGTTGCTTTTGAAGTGCCTACGGCTAAAATGAATCGCTGTGTAGTGGGTTTCTGTGTCAAAATACCTTCCAGAGGTTCTTCGCAATTTTGAAATATTATCAAATGAGACACAGCTGCATTAACGGTAAGTCTTTTTTTAATTTGTCCGGGGTTAAGGTGCACAAGTGTTATCAGGGCTAAGGTTGTGTTGTCCCAGTCTATAAATTAAAATTTAGACCTAGTACAAGATCAATGCAAAACTTACTGTTTTCACCCGGAATTAGCGTCACGTCAGGAACAGTCACAGTTTTAACGTACACTTCCTTTATTATTGGAACATGGTTTTTAAACGACTTTATGAGACAGTCTTCCTCAATGTTCGGAAACATTAAACTGAATTCTAACGAAATCTGTACAAAAAATTATTATGAGCTAAGTATTATACTTAATTACTGCTCACCAATCCATTAGTATCCACAAATCTGGGGTATTTTTCACATAAATTTGCTTGTCTGTATTGGTTTCGATCAAAAAATGTTTCTTTAGTTTTTTCTACAATGTCTCTCTTCTGATCTGGGGTTGCAAACTTTAGGAAGTTGATTTTATCTTCCAGTTCTGTAGGAGTCAACTGAATTGCCGCACCATCATTGACTGCAGACGATGTCGATGTGGACGCAGTTGATGGCAGTGGAATTGATTTCTTTTTTCGTTCCCGAAAAATTGTTCTCAATCTAGTGGTTATATAGCCCTTTTTAGAAACTGGGTCAAAGAACGCTTCCTACAAGAAGTTTAGATAGTTAAATTACACAATATGAGTGTATAACTTACGAATCCTCCTTCTGTCTGCGGATCTCGTAGCTGCGGAAACAATTCAATGATACACTTGGCATATGCCTCTCGTGTGGTTATACTAGGTAGCACATCTTCAGGCATCCCCTGGAGCATGTGAAAAACAACTAAATTCACAATTTTTTTTCTATTAGGGTCATCTAAAGTATTGTTTTTTTTATAAAACCCAATAACTTCTTTCCCTCCAGGGTGGTTTAAAAAGAATCGTTTTAGACTCTGCAAATGAAATATTTGTGGAAGTTTTACGATACCTATATAATTCCATAAATACTTTACCTCTGAACTAACAGAGTTGTAACAAATTCTTGCGGTTTTTGTTCTCTTTTTGAGGGGAGCGGTTTCATCTACTTCTTCCTCATCTTCATCAAAACTGGTAACTCTAGACCTTTCAGAAACACTAGACGAAGGTGAATTTAAAGATACTGTTGAAAAACTGTCTACATTTCTAGGGCGCTGGACGGTTAATTCGCTTAAAACTAAAATGTATACTTGTATAAATTCGCCCATGAAACCCCAATAATAGCACTTACCTTCTTCTTCATTATCAGAAGGAATGACTTTAATTATAACCCCTCTAGTTGAGAACGACAAGAAAGTTGGGAAAAAGTCTGGTTTTATTACTGCTCCGTCACAATCATGAATTTCAAAATCCTTGTTAATTAATTCTTGAAATGTCTGTTGAACTGAAATTGAAAATATATTTATTTTGGAAGAAATAGGTAATCCATCAATGGTTTGAGCTGAAAACATACTTTTTGTAAGGTTGATATTTGAAATCTCCACCTAACAATTTTTCAGGAAATACATCGCATGTCCTGATTTTTAATTGTTTCATCTTTTTAACTTTATATAGGGTGTCACACGTAGATGGGGTATTGTAAATATAGTATAGTAAGATTTGTTTAAAATTGAAAAAAAATATTATAAAAGCTTCCTGGTTACACATTATGACGTCAATCTATTTTATTCTAACATTTAAAAAAATGTGTTACGACTTTTACTCATAAAAAACCAATAAACAAATTTTCTCTAAAATGCCCAAGGAAACTAAAAATGATGCCACAAATGATCGTGGTGTGTGTTCATCAAAAACAGAACTAAACAGTACATTGGACTAATATTTTGTGTATTAAAAACAAACCTGAAAGTTTCATGTCTTCGTAATTTGAAGGTAAAGTTGTCCATTCTAACTTTTGTTTATAACTAAGACGGACAAAATATTGCATGGGTGGAGGTTCACCAGCAGCCTCTGAGGCTGCGGCTGCTACATATTGGAGATATTCGTCGGCGAATTCATTCTAAAACAAACCACGTTTTCTAATAGACAACGTAATGTTAATTGAAATATTTCAATGTAAAAGAAACTTTTATTTTTGTCTACTAAGCCAACAAAATTGAAACTAAACCAAGCTGCATTAATTGTAAAACCTGATGGAATCTTTGATTTCATTCGCGTCGCAGTTAATTACGTACTTACATTAATTTTTTAACAAAAATTATACTTTACAAAATTCTTTGATAGACTGGATAACTGCTAAATGTTTAAAATAATATAATGAACGATAAAACATGGAACAGGAGGTCCTCGGCCTATTGCTATTATTGCAACATTCTAATATAAAGATAAAATATAATAGCCAGTACTTACCATGCCGTCACACTAATTATTACTATACACACACAAGGAAAATTTCGCGAAGCACTTGGTTTTCTTTGCAACAACTCGATTGAAAATGATGGCCCTTTCCCTCCAGATCAGAACTGCGTAGGACGATAATGGTTGGTTTCACAAAAATATTGTCAAATTGACAAAATACTATTGCAGACATAACATTCATAGTGAGTATCTGAGGATGAATCATCGTGAACGGCTCCCATTTCAACAAACAGAGTTGTGTTTTATACACTTCAAATTGCTGTATTTGCAAAAGGCAGTGTCTTGACTAAAATTCCTAAATATACAAATAATTCTCGCTAAAATAACATTCCGAATTACACACAATGAATATGGGATTTCCAAATTAGCAAAATTTGTATTTGATATGGCATTTAATTTTTGTAACTTGGACATATTTTATGTTGGTAAAATAGGCATTTATGGTGGTGTTACAGTCGCAAATTTTTTCATGATGTTTATACAAATTTTAATTGTCATTTAATAAGTTTCCAATTTGCAGACTTATTGTGGTGGATTTTGACTGTTTATAAATGACGATAAATAATTTGTTAAGTGGTTGTCATTTTAACAATATTTTTCTTACTGTGTGAGTGCAGATATTTTCTAGTCTAAACCATTACTAACCGGTAAATGATCTAGAAATCTTGGTAGATCTTGTGGTTTGATAAGTACAGTAATTAGCCATTTGATTGAATTTACGTATAGGTACCTGTTTTACCAATCGCAAGTTGTTGATCATACTGGAAACTTATAATAAACATACTTAGTGCAAGATGCACGCTACTGCATGCATTGTGTGGTGCTGAAATGAAAAAGAACGCGATTAGATTAGAGCGCATGATTCTTATAAATTCCCAGTCTCTACTTGTTAATAGGTAGAGATGTGAGCCAATCGATTAATAGCAAAACGGTAGTTTGACAACAGTACATGAACACTCCGCATTGCACAAATCAGTAGATTTTATCCCTTTAAAAAATAAATGCAGACATACGAGTGTGCCCCCAATTTCCAAAGGTCGAGTTTCTGAAACTCCAAAACGACAAATTCCTAAAAGTTGTCTGCGGCGGTTAAATGCGAATTCTCTAACCTACTGCAGAAGTTGATAAAGATTGTAGTATTTCAGTTAACTGTTATGAAAACTTTCAGGACTTCAGGATAATTTGTTACAATTAAAATGTCACCTTAATTTCCTCATTAAATCATACTTATGGATTTCTATAGTGCCCTTTGCTTTCCCCGCTGGGAGCATTGCTCTATGACAATTTATTCAAACATAAGACACAAAAAGAACAAATTTATCAAGCTCGTTCAAGCTACCGTTTGATGTCATGCCCAATTCGGAAAGTTCATAACAAAGCATAATTGTCGATTATTATTGTTGAAATACCTTGTTGAGTGAGGACATTCATATCTGTGTACAACATTTTATCGCTGTTAGAGCAGTCCTCTGTACACGTACTCGAGATCACCTTAAATTAAACGTGTCAATTTTTCCTTCAAAGTCCTTCAAATTGAAGGTTCCAATTTTCCAAAATAGTTATTTACATAAAAGTCAGGAAAATGATACATTATTGGCATAGAAATATTATATTTAATTTCTGAGTCAAGTAATGTCATTTTACTGATGAGTTTTGTATTAAATTTTACCTGAAATCGTATTTTAATATAAAATTTCAATTTTCATAATAGAACTTTTGATTATTATCAATCTGTCGGTGATGACATGAGTCATTATAGACATTTAGCAATGTCAAAGATACGGCCAGTAAAGTGACAAGCGGCAGAAAATGCAGTTTGCTCTGCCCTCTGTCATGGAAACTAAAATATCCTCACAGAAAGAAGGCATGAAAATGAAGGTTTCAAGGACGTGATTTTAAGATGAATTTTACGAAAATAAAACGGAAGCAAGTTCTATTTTTCCCATCAATTTTTTGGTAACGATTAGAACTTATCGCCAACTTACTATTAAATGCATTGCCTCGCAAATAGTAATTGTACCAAGCTGTAGAAGGCGTGGTACCTTGTCGTTATGTCGCTTTTGACTATGAAACCGATCTTGTTTTCTGTTTGTTTATTTATCGTATGGGTGGCACTCCCGGGCTACAGATGTTTTCAGATCGCATCAACAGCCGTCTCCGTGATCTAACGACCGTCGTGGCCGGGATCGCCAGATTTACATGGTAGCTTGGAAATGTGTATCACTAAAAACTGGCAAGTTGTGGGATTCGAACTCGCTACCTGTGAGTCCGTTGTCACAGCCAGGGTTAAAGACTGTGTGACCAGTCAATTCCAATGGCAACAAGAAACCGGACTCAAGATAGGGTCCCTTGGCAAATTTCAAAGTTTCTAAAACTAACTAGAAACCAGATTAGGAAGATCACCAGTGTCTTTACAGGGCACTGGATGGTCAACTATCACCTGCATAACATGGAGGAGCCTACGTACATGTTCTGTGGCAAGGCAGATGAATCTACCGAGCATGTAGTCTGTCACTGTGACGCCTTAACCCCACACAATGTCTTAATCAATCATATTTCCGGAAATCTACTTTTCACGGCTTCATTTCCAAATGTTAATAGTCCGTGTCATTGAAGTATATAATCACGTTATTATGCCATCTAGTAGATGTTTCAATACTGAGTCGATCACTAAAAGTCTTAGATATCTATATCACGGTATCCACTTTTGACAACTCGCCATGGAATGGACCCCATTACTGGAATTTGTTATTTTGTAAATTTAACTTGTAAATTTTGTCATCCTTTTGCAACTCTTCATTATTTGCAAGATGGCAGGAATCCTAGAAAGATGTTGTCTTCTTGTAAAAGTATGGTGTTTTTTATGCGTGACATCTCCAACGTTTGCACAAAGTTTAAGGGGGTCTTTTATTTGTTTTTACAGAAGCTTGCTACTTTTGATTTATTTTTGTTCTTCCACATTTTGTTTTTACTTCTACTCACAAGATCGGTTTTAGTCCTTTTTTATTATATTTATAGAGCTACATCTTAAGGTTGATGGTTTAAAATCTTGACCTTCACGGAAGGGAATGAAGGAGATCTAAATCAAGGTACTGCTATTTCTGTTCGCATATTTACGAGATAAAAAGGTGATTTATTTAGAAAGGATAATAAAAACTAAAAACAAGAACATAACCCCAAATTGATAAGAAGGTAGTGTATGTTGAGATCGGCTCGTAGAGATGGG